TCGCGGGGCGAGGGCGGGCGGGGCGGGGGGAGCGGCTGTGGAGCGTAGCCGTCGGCAACAGCTCCCCGATGCTCGGCTGCTCGCGGGTCTTCTGTCCCGCTGCCGTGCAACACCGGGGACTCGCGTGGACGCGTGTGTGCACGCGTGGGTTTCTCCTGCGGCATTTTCGTGTGCTTGTGGGACTTTTCTACCCATTTCTCAGGCTCGGGGAGTTTCTTGCCACGAACGGCACCAGCACACCTCGTCACTTGTTTGTTCCAGCTCGTCCAGGGACACACACCACAAGTCACATCGGTCACGCGCTGGTTTCCTTTGGTAGAGAAGAAGGGCTCGCCAATTACGAGAAATCACTAATTTTTTTTTTTTTTAATTTTTTTTTTTTCATATCGAAATCCCATGCCTCAGTGTTGTTTTCTGAGATGAACGTATTCAGGAACTGACTGTGCTATCTAGACAGTTTAGCCAAAACAAAGCTGTAAATTCACAGAGTATGAAGATTTTCTATATTTTATCCTGAACTTGGAGCTCCCCAGCCTCTGAACAGGATTTTGCTAGTTGCATCTTGATGCTTTGAATATGGGAAAATACAATATCTTTATTTGTTCTTAATATCATGCTTTTATGTGAGGGTGAAGTTGTAAACGCAGGTTGCATGAGACCTTTTAATTGTATTTCTGTGGGCAATCGCCACTTGTTTTGCAGGTGATGGTATCTGTGTGTGTGTGAGCGTGTGTCCGTAGGCTCTGGGAACTCTTTCTTATGAAAAATCCTTTTTAGTGACCAGGACGTGCTAGGTATTTTCTCTGTATATGTGTGTGTGTAAATATATATTTATATGTATATATATGTATGTATTTGGGATGGTCAGCGTTAGAGCAGCAGTGCGTTTCCAGTGCCTGCTGCATCTAGCATGTTCAGGGTGGATGCAGTGGAGCAGAGCAAGCTTGCAACTCTGTTACTACCAGCTGGCAGCCTGATCCAACAAGTTTATTTTGCCTTTTCTTCAATGACCTTACGGTTAAGGGCCTCAGACAAACCACTGTTTTGCAAGCATAGTATCCCTTTCCCTCCAAGATGGCTGTAATCCACTTTTATTCTCCACAGAGAGATCACCTTTGCATCATAAATACAAATCTGTTTTTGTAAGGGAAACAATGAGAAAACGGGAGAGAATGACTTTCCATCCCAAGGCAGTTGGAGAAGTTTCCATTTTGCAGTACAGTTGAGTCTAATTCCTCCTGAAGAGCTTTCAGTGGAGCCCTGGGTTAAGGGGGTGGTGGGTGTGTGCCTGCTTTTGCAGCCCTAGCAGCTGTAAAACGTCCTTTTTGGAAGATAACACTGATGCTTATTTGTGTATCTTGCCGAGCGATTCGTAGTATTTCCTATTGCCATGCTCAGTATGGAGACATCCAGGCAAATACCCTAGGTTTCTCTCTATTTAATGTTGTGAAGCATTGTGGTTCTGCCTTGAATCTAGCAGTCGGAGCTGTGAGCCCAAGATCATCAGTGTCAGATGATGTCTTTTTTCCATTGGCTTCAGTAGGTGTTGTATAATTCACAAGGAGGCACTTCAGGTCTTTTCTGTCTTCTCTATTGAATCAATAATAAAGTATCAACGCAATTAGTAATCCTTCCTTAGTTAGAAACAGCAGCGGGTGACAAATATTTTGCAAAGTTATCTTACTTGAGTCAATATTTTCTATAATTTGTGCCCCCAACAGTGTTTTTATTTTATATGCAATGACAAAAGTCTAAAAAATGATTACACCCACTCTAAAGCTGGCCATTTTCATTAGTCATTTTCCATCTCATTTCAATTATATAGTGTGATTTCCAAGCGCTTAATATTTTATACGTCTCCAGAGCTATAGATTGCGTGGTTTTCTTTCATTTGGGATTTCAGGGTAGGTACAATATTGCCTATTGCTCCAGCAGCTCTTGAGAGAGCATCTTCCCAAATAAATGCAGAGCTGAATTGCTAGAAAGAGGAGCAGAATCTAAGAGCATAGCGTGATGCCAAGGTCATGCTCGGTGGAGGCCAAGCTTTGGTTTAGTAAGCGGTCATTAGCCTTGATGTTCTGCAGAAGCAGAACTTAAGTGTGGTGCACAGGCTCCCCTAGCGCATCCCAAGGCAAGAGCCTATAATCTGACGATGAAAATAATCATGCTTGAGCTTAGGAGACGCTAAGGGACAACCTAGAGTTTTTATTCCTCTCTTTGAAATGTGGCAGTATGTCAGGAATTCAGAGGCTTCAGTTGTAGCATTTCCCAATGCCCAAATGCAGGAGGATTGGCCCATGCTACGGTACAGCCAGAACTGCATGCCAAAACAATTTCTCTCCTACAATTTCTTCAATACAATTTCATTGAGGCTGTATTACCAAACAAATTGATCCAAATCATGCTTTGTTTCCATGGGTTTCCCATTCTCCTAGCAGTGGTTCTAACATGTATGTTTACATGGCACCCTCAGAAGCATTTGGTGACGTGCTCTTCTAACTCATACCACGTTAGCGTCATGTAGGTACTTCACTGGAAATCAGAACTTCTGACTAATACGTTCTCTTAAGAAGGTCCAACTTGGACACGTAGGCCAAATCCAAGCACCTTCTCTCTTGTTTTCCTCCCACTCAGTTGCCTTGAAGAAAAGGGTTAAGATGAAGGTCCTTAATAGTTAAGACTGTTGAAATTATTCTATTTTGTAGTTCCAATATTGCAATTTCATGTTTTTCTAATACGTCTTCTGGTACTTCCTCTTCCAGGTACTTCATACTTAACGGATATAGTATGGTGGTCTGGCACTATTGCAAGTAAGTATCTTAAAAGGTTTGATTTTATTTGAAGGGAGAAGTTGCGGTGAAATAAGACATCAGGAAATCTGGATTCTCATCTTGAATCTCACGCTCACTTGTCACGAAATTCCCATCCCTCAGAAATACCTCACCTTCAGTAAACTCTCACTCTGGCTACTGTGTCTGATGGTGTTTGAAACGGCAAAGAGCTGGGACGATCCCAAGTCAGACGTCTGTCCAGATTTCCGAACTGTGTGGTACTTGCAGCCCTTGGCAGCCACACACTGCTCTGACTCTAGATTCCTGCATGGTTTGTGTCTCTGGATTATAGAATCATAGAATTGTTTAGGTTGGAAAACACCTTCAAGATCATCACATCCAACCGTTAACCTAGCACTGCCAAAGTCCACCACTAAACCATGTCCTCGAGCACCACGTCTACCCTTCTTTTAAATACCTCCAGGGATGGGGACTCAACCACTTCCCTGGGCAGCCTGTTCCAGTGCCTGACCACCCTTTCGGTGAAGAAGCTTTTCCTAATATCCAACCTAAACCTCCCCTGGCGCAGCTTGAGGCCATTTCCTCTCGTCCTATCGCTTGTTACTTGGGAGAAGAGACCGACCCCCACCTTGCTACAGCCTCCTTTCAGGTAGTTGTAGAGAGCGATAAGGCCTCCCCTCAGCCTCCTCTTCTCCAGACTAAACAACCCCAGCTCCCTCAGCCGCTCCTCATAAGACTTGTGCTCCAGACCCTTCACCAGCTCTGTTGTCCTTCTTTGGACATGCTCCAAGACCTCAATGTCTGTCTCTTAGTGAGGTGCCCAAAACTGTGCACAGTATTTGCAGCCTTGTGCTGGTCCGCTCAGTTTTCAATAAAAGTCAAAGCTGAATAAGAAATTGTTGCTCTGCACAAAAGGGCTCATTGAGCACATGTTATTTTTTTGGATCAGAAAGCACTTAGCCAGCCTCAACTGAAAAAAACCATCCTTTTGACAGATACAGTTTCAGTTTTGCTTTTAATCTACAAGATTAATGTGAAGCCTTGTGTGGTGCTGATATGAGATCAGTGTAGTTTCACTCTTAGTATCGTTGTAAAGTCTGCTCAGGCTAAGTTCACTCTGATGTGAATCCAAAGCATGGGGAGCAGCTAGCTTTCTCCTCTTGCAGTTCAGCCCTAGTTCTACCCATGAGCTTAAAATCATACCCCACTTTTAGACTCTAACCCATCCTTTTGCGAATTATTTGGAAATGTTCTGATGCTGTTTCCGAGAAGTACATGCATGCAGTTGTGCCCCTTGTTTTGTGGCAACAAGGCAAGTCTCTGGTTTATGCAAAAGGAATGGAAACTGATAGATCCCTTGAAGGACAAAGTTCACAGCAAGTGTAGAAGCCAACAGAGCTTCAGAGGAAAGTCCTCGGCTAATTTAGCCTGAGTTTAAGTAGTACTTTGTCAGCTTCCTCCTCTGCCAGGATCACTGCTGCCTAAGTAGCAATACATCCGTGCATTAATCACTGCTGCTTATCACTTGTGAGGCTCCTGGCTCGAATCTCCAAGCAGAAGGAGTTAAAATAAGAGAGATTTTATTACAGGAGTTTATCTTGGTGAATCAGAGAAAACCATTTCATGCTTAAAAGAGCTGACAGAATTGAATGAAGGCAAAATAGCTGAAGGGCATGGTATCAGTTGGCTTTTGTCCAGTAGCTAGGTGCAGGTATTTCAAAACAAACCCTCAGTAAGTTTACAAAGGAGCCAAGGGAAGACTTGCTTAAGGATATTGTAGATTCAGAATTGCAACAGGGTCACAAACAGCAATAGTAAGGGCCAGGTAGGCACCTATGGGATGCAGAGAAAGGCGACGTTTGGGGAATTAGCAATATCCCCAGTTATCTGGGCAAAATTATAACAGCTGACATAATTTTCTCAAGCAGGGAATTTGGAGTTTGGATGACTGACAAAACCCGCATAAATTCTGTCAACTTGTTTTCACAATATTTGTTCAGATGGTGAACAAGCATTTCTGTGTTGGCATGCTGACTCAGCATAACACTGCCAAACCATTTTGGGGCCTTGAGATCCACTGGATTACTGAAGACTTCAAAGGAAGGGCTACAGATCCTGCTAAGGGACTTTTTTTTAAAAGTCAGTGATTGCAGCATGTGTACAGGTATTTCAATGAGCATTAAACTAATTAATTGGCTAATTAATTAGTTTCAATGCAGGTTTTGATAGCAACATAGATGTGGCTGGTTTTTATAGTGGATACATCTATGTTAGTGTTTTATTGCAGATGGGGAATGCACTTGTGAAGTGAATCTCCCGTTTGTCTCCACGGATTGGGCTTGCTTTCATGTTGTGGAGCAGTGTTGGAGCTCCTGAACTGGTCTTTAAGATGAAACTAGGCTAGAGGATGTACTGTAGGACCATGCCTAACACACACCAACTGCAAATAGACTTTCAGTCCGTGGGAGCAGGCTGAAGTTAGTCTAAAATAAAACCCCTGACATGCGTATAGCAGACATCTTTTGCTGTACGGATCTTCTACTGGTCTCCTCGCTAATGTAGACATGTCGGTGTGCATCAAGTTTTGTGTTGCAATAACTTCAGGGATATTGGTACTCCTTTAGCAAGTTTAAAGCTTGGTGCACCTTCAAGAACTGAAGCCATGAATTGACTTAGAGCATTGATGTATCTGGAGAGGAATTTCAACAGAGGGCTGTTGTTGGCAGCAAAGGTCCTCAACATCAGGTAGATGGTAACAATTACTGAGATTCCTTTTTAAATTGGTCTTAATTAGTCCTGGTCTGTTGTTTGTGGTGGTAAGAGACTGTTACTATTACTCCATAGTGATACCGCAAACTTCTGGTAAGTTCAGTTGCCTTACAATATGTGCAATTTGACTGAAGCTTCAGAGAGCTAATTTATGGATTTGTATTGGTTCTTCCAACAGAAAGTTAAGGCAGCTGACCTCCAAAAAAAAAAAAAAAAAGCAGTCTTTTGTCAGAGTCACTGGGAGATGTATCTAATCTGCAGAAACACAGCATGCTAGCTGTGTCCCGTCCTCCATGCAAGATCTGCCCCAGTGCCTTCAGGTGCCTTAAAGATAATGACAAAGTTGCCACGTACATCTGCTGAAAAAACATCCTGAGGCTGACAGCTGAGTTACTCTGTGTCTCCCAGGGGCAGGGAGAATTCAGGAGACCATCACTGACTCTCGAGCTCTAGAAATGCTGCTCATTAACTTCTTTGGCTCACTCCTGCATGTAGAGAAAGCCTCAGTGAATTGAATCAGTATAATTTCGCCACGCTCTGCTGTTTTGTAAGTTTGTCTGTCTCCTTCATGTTTCCTGGAGGTTACACAGGTCTTCAGCTCTACCCATAATGTGAGCTAATTTGGTAAATTAATTAATGTTTGCACAGTGCTTTGCAGGTGTAAAGAACAGGATGATGGTAATGATATTTGATAGTCGAGGGCAATGCCAGCCTGAGCATAAAGACAGCCTGGATTCTTGAAATGTTTTTAAATGCTGATAATGGCTCGTAACATCAACTGAAAATTTGAGCTGTATGTAATTTGTGTTCAATCTCAAGGTTCTTGCCAGTTACCATAGACCCTGTAACTATGCAAGCATCATGTTGACCTATTACAAACTTGCCAGCACTTGCAAAACCATCCAGCTTTTCTTTTTTAACTGAAAACTTGAACACATGAACTGTTTATCACAGCTGTGATGTGCAATAGTGTGGTACATCTTGGAATTTGCTTTTATTGAGGGAAAGAAAAAAATAAGATTGTGAGGCTGTTATTGTAACTTGTCAGGGATCTGTTCTTTTTACAGTGGGTAGGAATGACATTTGATGTTATATAGTGTTGTGAAAAATTGATGTGGTCTACTGTATATTGAAGAGCCCTTATGCATGTGCTCAGTATTTCATTAGTAGATTCCTTTCCTCAGTACTGTCCTTATTTTCCCCCCAAAGGGTCACACTGCTGTTAGGAACTATAACCAAGTGCATTTGTGTTACACATGTGCACGTTCTAAAGCTGAAATCATGGGTTATATATACTTTTAGTCCTCCTCATATAAATATTTGAGTGTAATATTGAGAGATATGAGTGTTTCTAATTCACCGTCTTATTTATATTCAACTAAGAGAAGTTGCAAATGAGATCATTTGCTGTGCCCTCTTGGATCTTCTTGTGTGGCAAATACAAATCCTGTATTAAAAAGTAATTAAATACAGAAAAATTCCAGCCATTGTGTTTAAGTGCAAAATTAACAGAGCTAAGCAAATTTGTAACATCTGTTTTTCAGTTAGGTCAGTCTTTCCCAAACAGTATTGGGTAAGTTTTCATTACTTCTTTTTACAAAAGGATTTGAAGGCTTATTTCTGGTTCTCTTGACAGTGGCTCTGGGTCAAATAGGGAATTTCTTGGCCTACACTGCAGTCCCAACTGTGCTAGTGACACCCTTGGGGGCTCTTGGCGTTCCATTTGGGTAAGAGTTTGCTTTTCTTGTTCTTATCTGAATGTTGTTACTACATAATAAAATGTCAGATAGACTTCGTGATCACTGGAGGTCCACCGAGAAGACGTCAGGCTTGTGAGTGTTAATGGTGTGTTATAATGTCACCTATTCCTGTTTTCCCCGGCAAAGTGGCGGCGAGGGGGAAGGCAGTGGTGAAGAAAGGGTTCCTGAGTATCTTCTGCTTTAACTATCACTATGATCTGGAACAGATCAACATTTTTTTTTTCCCCCCTCTCCCCTCTCCCCTCTCCTTTCACTGTGGTTGTTCTGGACTCTTCTACTTATCCTCTTATTCACAGTTCCCTTACTATGTAGATCTGTCCTTTTGTCTCACATTCTTTCTCTCCCCTGCTATTCACAACCCACATGTGTTTTTTGATGCTGATTTTCATTTCATTGGATTTGGCCTTCCTGAAGCGGGAGTCCCTTGCATATGTACGCTCACAGCTTCTTGAATGTTATGTTCATGCGAAGGGAGGGAACAAAAAAGGCAGTGAGTGTTCCTAAAAGGAGTTTAATATGCAACTGAATGTTTTGTGAATAGCTAAACTACAGTTGTGAACCTACTGCAGTGAAAAAGCACAATTCTTTAAAAACAAGCTGTGCATTGCCTCAAGATTTTTCCGTTGCCTACTGTTGTCTGCTGAATTGCGTATCTGACTGCACTGGTCATCTACTTCAGAGTGCAGATTGCTTTATACGGGCTTCATGGCTGTCTTTAGTTTTATACACTATGAAGCACACTGACAGTGCTTTACTTACCACCTATCATTTTATCCTAGGCCGCATAATTTTGTGTATTATTTCAGTCAGCTACCTGTCTGGGCTGAGCCCTGTGATCTTTGTAACCAAAGGCCACTTTTTATCTCGTGACTGTGTAGCACCTATAAAATGGGGCTTCGTGGCAGCTCACCAAATTGTTAACGGGTAGATATCTGCCTTGGGTGCCAGATGCCTGGTTTGGGGGTTTGGGTTTTTTTGGAGGTGGTGATGTGGTGTTGGTTTTGGGGGTGTTGTGGTTGGTTTTTTTTGTTGTGGGTTTTGTGTTGGTTTTTTTTTTTCCCCTGAGATGAAACATCAAGGATTGACTAAGACTGAGACTGGATGAATCTTCTCTAAGATAAGTCAGAAATGGATTTTGAGGATCCACCAACATTTGGTTGAAGATCCACCAAAATTTGATACTATTCCTTTAAGAGGGAAATTCATGTGGGACATCACTGTTGGAGCATTGTTAACAGGATGTAGTCAAACTTTTAATTTTCTTCCTCTTTGTGAAAGGTCCATTTTAGCTTCTTACTTACTGAAAGAAAAACTGAACATTCTTGGCAAGCTGGGATGTTTGCTGAGCTGCGCTGGGTCTGTTGTTCTCATCATCCATTCCCCAAAGTCCGAGAGTGTAACAACTCAGGCTGAGCTTGAAGAGAAGCTTACAAATCCAGGTATTTTGTTCTTTTATTAACTCATAATGGTTTTGTGAGATTGATCAAGAGCACGCAGGAGGAAGAGGCTTACCACTTCCCTCAGGTAGGAAAATTGACTTCTGAAGAACCGTGATGTGACAGAGGCAAACCAGTACAGCTTTTGTGTGGGAAAACTATGCCTTGCTGTACTTGGAACTCGTCAGATTTATTGATACATGCGTGCAGAAAGGAACATGTGGATACTTTTGAAAACGTTATCCTGCACAGCAAGCTCAGAACAATGGCCGTTTGAACTTGTAATTTTCTAAAATTATGAAAAGTTTATCTTGCTACTTAGAGATGAAAGGCATAATTCTAGGATCTCAATTTAAGTTGTTTTATACAAAATAAAAAATATTGTCTTTTGTTCTTTAATTCTCCATTTGTTTTTTTTTTTATTACAAGTTTATACTAGATACCAGTTATGTTCCAAGCAGATTTCTTTGCATAATAAAGGTGTGTAGAAATACGCTGTTGAGACATATGCTGAAATGCCTGTTCTTTCTCACAGAGAATGTAAAGCCCCACTGGCTCCTGGGGGACACAGACTAGTGCTAGTATGTGCCAGACCCGCTTGTATTTTTCTTGCATAAGAGCTAAACTGCCAACTATTGTTATTTCCTTTAATTGCTTTAGGTGAGAGAAACTCAAATGTAATAACATCAGCTATCCAAAAAATTTGCAAACAAAGAAAAGAAAACAAATACCCTGGTCTAAATTTACTATTTCAATCTGACCAAAATGAATTAGAAATATATTTCTTTAAAACTATAAAGCATGAAATGTTTTTCACCAGTCTAATATGTGTACTGATGCTATAATGTAAGTGATATGGCCTCCCAGTTCTTTCAGCTCTCCCTATTCACCTTAATGGGATCTAACTTTATGTTTAAGCTCTTTGCCAGATCCACGCACCATGCTTTATTTAACTCATTATTAATGAGGTGTTATCACTGCTGTCTGTCATAGGAGGCTTTAAGGAGTATAATCCTCATGTAAGAGAGAATGAAAAAAAAAAAAAAGCCATCTTAAATCCAGTTCAAGTGTGCAACAGTGTGTATTTTACTACATGATGATTTGTTTTACCCAAAGAACCTGGCAACATCATCCGTTGCAGATGTCCACAACATCTCTAAAAGCTCAGTGATTTGGATCTATATTCAATAGCAAATCTTAATCTCGGTGTATAGCTGAAGTTCACTGGTATGACATGCTCTGCCTGCTAAAATCTTTAGAAGACCAAAAGTTGTCACCTTGCTATTATCTTGTTTTCTTTTTGTTTTCCAGTTTTCGTGGGTTATCTCTGCATAGTGCTGCTAATGCTTCTCCTGCTTATCTTCTGGATAGCTCCAGCTCATGGACCTACTAATATCATGGTTTACATCAGTATTTGCTCTCTGTTGGGCAGTTTCACTGTTCCCAGCACAAAAGGCATTGGGCTGGCTGCTCAAGATATCTTTCACAATAACCCCTCAAGTCAAAGGGCTCTGTACCTCTGTCTGGTACTTCTGGCAGTATTAGGATGTAGCATTATCATTCAGTTCAGATACATCAATAAGGCACTGGAATGTTTCGACTCCTCTGTGTTTGGTGCCATCTACTACGTTGTGTTTACCACCCTAGTCCTGCTGGCTTCAGCCATCCTTTTCAGGGAATGGAGTAATGTAGGAGTGGTAGATTTCTTGGGAATGGCTTGTGGATTCACCACAGTGTCTATTGGAATTGTTCTTATACAAGTCTTCAAGGAATTCAACTTCAATATCGGGGATTTAAATAAACCTAACATGAAGACAGATTAAAATATTTTCTGAGGGGAAACTGGATGGCTCAGGGAAGGATGCAGAGCCTTTCATTTCTAGGTCACTGATTCAAATATGATTCAGGTTGGTAGTTACCCTCTGACAATTTGGTGGCCTACGTGAAATGAATTGGAGGCCTCCATCCAGTTTCAAAGGAACAGTTGTCCATGTACCCCAGTCAACATGATAAATGACCTTAATTGGAACCACTGATTGAGTCGGCATAGAGACCGATGTATTTCCTTTCTGTAAAAAGTAATCCATCAGAAAAGATCTGGGGATATTCTGACAGGCCTGAGTGTGAAAAGCTTGTGTTGTGGCTTCTGAGCTACCATTTCTGTGGGCAGAGAACATCAGTTTCTAATGCACTCAATCTGGGGGGGGGGAGGGGGGAAGCGAGTGGAACAATTTGTTAATCTCAGTATAGCAATGTGTTCACCGTCAGGGCTGTGAATTCTGAGACAAATGTTTGTCGAACCATGGACTGCAGATTTGTCCTTTTTAGTGACTGTCTCGGCAACTTGGTCTGCCGTGCGGTGAAGACACTGGGGTGTTTTAAATTGAATTCTTTATACAGACCCTTAAAAATCTTTCACTAATTACTTATCAGCTGATGGTAGTGTCCAGGTATGCATTTTTCTTTGTAACTTATGTGCATTAAGACATACCGCATTCATCTGAGAGTTTTTAATTGGGAGCAGACAGAAAGACTGTGAAGGATGTGGAAATGATGCACAGACTCATTGCCTATATGGTGGCTTATTTGTAAGCAGCTCAGAACTATTTCAGTGCCTTTGTAATCCAAAAATACTGCATAAATGTGAATGTATTTGTTTCAGATGGCCTATACCGGTTTAATAATTCAATTTCACTGTCTATAATATTGGACTGTATTCAAATTCTAAACACATAAAGCATCCAGAAGGAGCCACATATTTTTGGAAGAATTTACAAACCTGAACTGAAACCCTTAGATGCCTTGACAGCTTCTGAAAAACCCATAGTCTTAATGGGAAGAGGTAATCTACGGGAGGACTGTTTAAAGCAGTCCAGCATACCTGTATTTTAGTTGTTATGTGACTAAATACAGGAAACTGTCTTGTGAAGTAGCTAATAAGCAGGGACCACAAAAAAAAAGAAATTTAAGAGAGAGAAGAGCGTAAGGTTTCTCATAGCTCAAAAAAAGATGGTCTGGTCCTCTTGTAATGTGGGAAAAGGAGGTTAAAGACTGAAAAAGCATAGGCATTCAGAGAGCTGAGTTTCGGATACCCAACAGGGATATACATCCAGATCCAGTAATTTACAGGCCTATGTGAACAGTTCAGCCATAATATTTTGACAAGTAGTACAGATAGCTTAAGCTATGATTGGGATGGTTCTGAAGTGTTCAGTTTAAACCATGTAGAGAATAGTGATATGTCAGAGAAAAGAAATAGTTCATTTTCATGTTCTACTTATATTTGGTAGTTAAAACATCATGAGTCAAAAACTTGTAAGGAAAGCTCGTAAAGTAATGAATGTTGGTTTCCATTTAAGTACAAAAATGGAAGGGTACAGTGGAACTCAACATCTCTAGTTCAGAATGTCTCTTCAAACAAACAAAAAGCCTCAACGTGATTACGAGACAGTATTTGAAAAAGATTGTGACACTTTGTCAAGAAATCATGAATGTAGCTTTGTGGCTAGCTGACAGGAACGTGGATGTTGGTTAATGGGGAGTAATACTGCCCACTCCTGTGATGTTTTTTTGTTGACCTGAATTAATGTTACCTTAAAACTCAGCCCCCGTTTTCATTTAAAATGAAGGTTATGAGCCCTTCTGATGGCAGCAATAATTGTGAACAGTGAATCCTCAAGATTTAGTATTCTGAAGGGACTGTTCTGAGGGAGTAAGAGCCCCACTACATTATTTGGAAGCTTGTTTTGTAACTCCAAACTGGTGGGGAATGACTCTGAGTTGGCAGAAACATACGTTGTTACAGGCCAGCACAGGAACTGGGTATCTTTGGTGAAATAAAATAGCGCTAGCAGTGAAAAGGCCGTCTTCATGGGTTTTCAAATATTGTATATGGTTTCTAGAAAGTTTGAGAATTGTAGATGAGGGGAATTGGGCTATGAAAGCTGGTTAAAACTAACCTCTGTCCATTATTGATTGGAAGAAGGTATCTTGGTTCTCAGCAGATAGTTATGTTCTGTCATTAATTCCCTTTTTTCTGATTGAAACTGGAATTGTACATAGGTTATGAGACCTGTGGTGACCTACTTTTTAAAACAATGTTAGCTGTTTCTGAAGCAGTCAAGTTGTCTTTTCAAAATTCAAATTCAGAGTTCATGAGTTGCATGTTGGTTTTGTACTAGCGTTTAATCTCTGAAGACTTCTGTGAAAATCTTTAGGTCAGAATGGAAATGATGTGGTCTCATCTTAGTCCTCCTTTGGCCATAGTTGTTTGTCTTGTTTTGTTTTAAAATTCATTCCGATTTATTTAGAAAGTGCCTATCCTAGTATGTTAGGGGCATATGCAAATTATTAGTAAATATGAGATCCAAAATAACTTGATTGCCCTGTCTAAACTTTGCCATCTTCTGCACCACACACACAAGTTTACTTGATAAGCACTCACTATGCAGAGGAAGAATAAAGTAGCAGCCGTGCTCTGTGGTCCTCTGACCGTCCTTACAGCTGATAAATGTCTGCATAGGTTTCTTCTCTTCTTCCTAGCTGCTCCTCATCTGTGATGAGCTTTCTAGAAATGCCTAGTTAACCTTCTTGTTTAAAACGGAGATGTCAAAAGCCAGCACATAAGGTGAAAGAAATTCTCGTGGCCTTGCCCATAACTTTTATCTGCAGCCTTTCACATCATGAATGCTAAATAACAGAAACCTTTATTTTTGCTACTTTATTCAGTATGCAGCAGTGTTCTTTTGAGCTTTGCTGTACCTGGATCTGGTTCAGTTCTAACTTTAGAAATGTATTAGCATTTTCTGTTGTCACTGTTGGTATGATTCTTCTCCCCTCCATCCCACGCCCTCCTCGCTCTAGGTGTCCTACCTTTTTTAGTCCTGTTGCTTTTCTAATTTAAAAGGAGGCACTGTTGAAGTTGAATTTTAACCATTCCCGTCTTTTTTTTTCCCCCCCCCCCACCCGTTTGACAAGCAAGCACTTTGAATAAGACAGATATCTGAGTTCCATCATCTCAGGGAGCAAATGTGCGTAGTTGTCTCCTGAGCTTTGGTGTCCCTCACGGGGTCTGCCCTTTTCCCGTTCTCTTTGCATTACGTCTGTCGATAGCTATGAGCCAGATGACTTCAGTTCTGATTCCAAACTAGAAGTGGGAGAGGCTACACATACAAAAAGTGGACTCATTACAGTGATGGGATGCATTTGAATTAAATTCAAATCCATATGAAAGGCGTTTCACTCCATATGTCTGGCTTCTATTACACTTGTCAAACGTATTTACTTGGTACTCACCTAAAGATAGCTCTTTGATCGTTATCCCTTCAGTGTATGGAGGATTTACATGTGTCAGTCACGATCTTTATTAGGTGTCAAACACAAAAATCCCTCAAATGTCCAGTAGGAGAATAGAAACCTTTTTGATACAACAACAACAAAAAATTTGTTACACCTTAAATACTTATGTAAAAAAGAAAAATATCTAAACAAGTTATATCTGCTGTATTTACTTTCCAGGACTCTCTATGTGTAAATAGAGCCTATTTATTAGTGAGCTGCAACTAACATTAATAAGAACCTGTCATATCACAGTTTGACAAGTGAGGCTTCCTATTAATAATCTTCGTTTATATTGAACATATGTATTTTTCTGAAGTAACTAGCACTGAAAAATGAAAACACTGGATTTTATTTGTTGAAATACTAGAATCTGAGGTTTAGCTTTCCTTTTTATTTTAAAAATAGCGGGTTTGTATTTGAAGAAAGATTTGGGATTATTAAATATGGGGTGCTTAAAATGGGCCACTGTTTGCACGTTATACCCCTCTCGCCACCTTGTTTCATAAATATAAAACATCAAGGATTCTACAGGTCATCCTCGGTTGTCTTGAGATGGTGTAACTGCTGAAATTTTACTGTTAAATCAAATGTTATCAAATGTTTATCTATTACCTGTTATCTTTTGTTTACAGAGTTTAGTCTTTGTAATAACTCTTTGGTGCTACTGAATATGGGCTTAAGAGATGCAGAATTTTGGTGTGTACCATGTTAGGCACCAATGATGTCAACAGTTATTACTACCAGTGCCCAAGTGTTTCAGACAGCAGTGTTGAAATGTTATGGATTAAGAAATCTTTTTTAAAAGCTGCAAATGTGGTTTTTTAATTGTTTTTTTGTTGTGGTTCCCCTCTCCGACCCCCAGACAGTTGCTCTACAGAGTGGAAAATATTACACAAAAGGGGTATTTTAAGTTAAATCCCTTTTCAACTGTGGAACTTGCTCTTCTTTTTTTTTTTAACTTTTTTATTTCCTGGAATGTAAAAAATAGTTCTGTTGGGATATGGGGAAAAGGTGGATGGCAACAAATATACAGTGTCAGGTTTGGTTGCTTCAATGCTATTGCAATATAGTTACTACAGATTACATAAAAATGGTTTATTTTATTAGCTTCCAAATAATGTATATATAGATTTGTTAATGGCTTACAAGTCAAGCTTACTCTCTTTGCTTTTTAAGAAATAGTTATAGGCATGTTGTATTTGCCTTGTGTAAATTATAAAAGGCTATTTATTAAGTTTTCTGATAACTAATCTATTTATTAACCTGTATGGTTTTAAAATAAATGATTTATTTCTAGCTCAACGCTTGTTTCGTGACTCCTCCTCTTTACCACACAGGGAAAAAAAATTCTTTTCCCACACATCTAGCTGCCTAATCTCAATTCCTAAGCCCAACTATTTCCATTACCCTTGAATAAGATAGCAGCCTTGCTTTTACTGAGAGTAACGGATTCTTTCATGTGTACAGAGCAGTTGCCACACGA